AGGAGGAGGAGGAGGAGGACAACGTAAGAAAGTAAGGAACACTGCAGCACTCTGCGCGAATGGGCAAGGCGCTGAGGCGTGCCGACGTCGCATGCGAAGCGATTCACAACAAAGTGAAACAACAAATGAGATCAGCGCCGTGCTGAGAAGAACGCCTCAGCCAACACGCGCTGTTGTCGGATGTCAGCACTCTTTTTCCCTCGCACTCGTCCGAGCTCACGAGGGCGTGTACTGGAAGACGCCATAGATGAGCAGTCGGCCACCGATGATGCCGGTTGCCACGAAGATGCCCCAGAATCCCTCCTCACCGATGTAGTTCTTGGATATCAGCAGAGCTTTTCGACAGGCCTTGGGAGAATGAGGATGCGACGGAGGATGAGGAAGGGGTGAAGGAACAAGAAGGACGGGGCGGAGCAGGAAAGGCTCTTGGGCAGGCCGCGAAGAGGAACATGATGACGCCAAACACCGGCGCCGCGAGGCCCAGCGCGACGGACTGCTGCCAGATCCCCACCTCGCCCGCATTGGTCTTCCAGATGGTGAGGGCAATGTAGAATGCCCACAAGAGTATCAGCATGAAGGACGAGTACGCCTTCATCTCGGGATGACCTCCGAGCTCCCCCCCGAACTTGTAGCGCCGGACCAGGATGACAGTCAAGCACACTATCGCGCACAGGGCGAACACGGTGACGCTGAACGCTAGGTCGCCCGAGGTAACGATGAAGGCACGCACGCCGTTCGCGTAGTGCTCTGGGTACCTGTCGATCCACTTCTGGTTGGGGCCATTTAGCGTCCAATAGAAAGCCGCCACCATCCACGGCAACCCGATGCTAGAGGAACAAACAGCGGCATAAACATAAGCTTTCTGAGCTCCGACCGGGTTTCTCGGATCAGCGCTGGACCCCTCTCTCTCCGGCGCGCGGAGCGCGCCGGGGACGCGTCGGAAGCGCCGCCAGCGGGGCCGGGCGCAGATCCGAGGAGACCGCGGGGAACTCTGAAACAATCATGCTTGTGCAGTGTTTTCTTCTTCAGGATACCCAGGAAAACATTGACCGAATTGCTCCCCGTCACATTGACAATCGAGGCGTCCGCGTGCGGCTCCGCCTTGGCGGCGATGCGCGACGCGAGGAGGTCGGGCACTGAGGTGCCCAGCGCCACGAAGGTCACCGCCGTGATGTTGTCGGAGATGTCGGCGTTGCAGCCGAAGAGCTCCGCGAGGTCTCCGATGATCAGTGTGATCCAAGCGATGTGCCCCAGGGAGAAGAAGAAGCACACCCAGCCTCCGAGGTAGGTCGGCGGGGGCGTCGTCAGGGCAAAGGGGAACTTCCAGGGGAAGTTTATGAGGTGCACCACCCAGTCGAAGAAATTGGAGTTCTCCTGCTCCTCGCGACTGCCGTTGACGTAAAGGGCCGCCGTGATCTGCTCGTACCACTGGTTGGTGCCTAGGTACACTTCGTCCAAATTGACCACGTGGTCGAGAACTCCGTACACCCGCTGCCTCGTCTTCACCGACCCCTTCGCACCGTTATTGATGGTGACCGTGAGGATGTTCATCTCCCTCCCGCCGTCGCTAAAAGGGTTGAACGTCAAGCCGCCTGTGGCCTCCTGCAGCAGCACCTGGAACCTGTCGGCCTTCTCGCCGACCTGTTTTGGCAGAATGGTTATCGTGATCTCGCTTTCCTCGACGCCGTCGCGAAAGTGGAGCTCCCCGCTGGCGTCGACGTAGTCGTAGCCTGGAGTGGCGGACAACCTCTCGATGCACCACTGCACGGAAACTCGTCCCGAGGTTCCGTTCTTACGGTAGATCGGGATGGTGACCTCCTTCTCCTCGTCCTCCCCCAAGACCTGCAGGCGGTCCGCAGCGAATGAAACGATTCCGCATTCGTTCTTGAGAGGGTTCCCCTCAAGATCCACTATGGGTCGCGCATGGTCTATTGCGTCGGACGTAGTTACAGCTTCGTGATCATCGGCGTTGGATTTGCCTTTGACCATCCGCTTGCAGCAGCGACATATGCAGAGGAACGGCGAACACATGCAGCGAAACAAGCAACTCACAGGATTCGAACCGCCTTCGGAACCAGCGGCTAGTGGCACCTCAATGTCTTCGTCGTCCTCATGCTTCGCGAGCAACTTCTTCAGCCCGGGGACACGGCTCAACCAACCGACATCGGCGGCGTAGGAAATGATGACTAGGCACGGGAAGTACAAGAACGTGATCACGCCCTCTTCTACTGAAATGATGTCTTTGCTATTTATCTGCACGATGAACAGAAGCCAGATGTAGGCTAACAGGGAGAAGATGGCAGTGATGACAAACACGCCCATCTCCTTGATCCTTGCAGGGGCACAAGGAAAACCACCTAAATAGACACAAACCCCAAGATTTGTCTTTCGAAAGCAACGGCCAAATGTGTGTGTGCGTGTGCTGATTTGTCCCTCCTGAATCCTGCGCGTCTCCCCGTCCGGGACCGAATTGATGCAGACTGCGATGATAACGAACAGGTTGAAAGCCGCCGACCCAACAATAGTCGAGGGGCCCAACGCACTCTCGAAGTACTCGTTCTTGAACACGTCGTTCAGAGAGAGCAAGATCTCTGGGGCGGACGAGCCCAGCGCCATTAACGTAAGGTTCGCGACGCTGTCATTCCACACCTTTGAGGTGATGGTACGCCCGTTCGACAACTGGATCACCCTTTTCCTGCTCGTGATGCGCTCGATTGCACTCATGAACATGTCGGCGACGATGCTGACGCCGAGGAAGGAGTAACAGAGCCCGATGCCATAGAGGACAACCTTGAACTTTTTGTCCTCGAACTCGTGCCAGGATGGCAACGCCTGGCCACCCCCGCCCTCATCGCAGGTGCGCGGTTCATTCGACTCGGCCATGCGCAGGTGTGCCGCAGGAACCGCCTGGAGAGCACCAAGACCACCCGGGTTCGCCCCAAACGCTGAGGTGTCAGTCGGCTTTCAACTCACTCACTCGACCATCTAATGTTTGCTGCTCCCTCGGGATCGGTCCGAAAGCCTGTCCCGAAGCACGTTCTGAACAAGGCTCCCAAGCGGATCCAGCCGCGGCGACGGGGACCGCCCAGGAGAGAAAACGTCGGCATCCCCCCTCTTTCCTCCTTCTGCCCTTCCCTTCCTCCTCCTCTCAAGGCTCCAGCGATGCTGAGCGACTTGGATGTTTTCCCAGACTTCTGCTGCCTTGATCTTGTTTCAGGCCCTGGAGCTCTCTGCCCCGGTCCTGGGGACTGGTCTGACGTTTATGTTTCTTTTGCCCCAAAGTCCATGAACCACTCCGAGAGACAGCGATCGATTGAACATGGAAACGCCCACCCCCTAGTCCCGACCTCTCGATTTGGTTTGCAACGTGGGCCCCACTGAGACCTCCAACCTCGAACCCTTGCCTCGGGCGTGGACTGATCCGGCTCAGCCAATCTGAACGTATGAGAACCGCCCCCCGCCACCCACACGAGGAACTTTAGACCAACTAGACCGCGCGCGCGGGCCCTCCCGCCCTGCGGCAGCTGGCAGTGGCCTCGCCTACAGGGCGCCTACACTTACGCACCTTCGCCGCAGCTGCAGAACGCTGACATCTAAAATCCATTGATGTGGGGGCTGGGGTCGGTTTCCCAATCACAATCTGGAAAAACAACGCTGCAACTCCTCTTGGAAGCTCCCAAAACTTGGCTCAGCCAGGATGGACGGCCACCTCGAGGGCCGAGAGCGGCCCCCGATCGGGCGCTCTGGCTGAGCCCATCTTGCGCTGAACCCCGTTGCAAGCTGGCTGAAGGGATCTCGACCCTCTAACAACCGCCGTCTGCTTCCGGACCCGCTGAAGGGATCTCGAAGGACCCTCTGACAGCCCGCTGAAGGGATCTCGACCCTCTCACAGCCTCGGCGGCGACGATAGGGGCGAATAGCCCAGGGGCGGCATTACACGTATTCGCCCGGGAGCCTTTTCGAAGATATAGATCATCGGCGCACCTGAATACATGTATTGTTCTCCCCTGGGCTATTCGCCCCTATCGTCGCCTCTGACAAACACTCCTTTATCCGCGGCCCCGGAGGTCCCGACCCCTCCCCCCCAAGGTGGCTATCCTTCGAATGAGAAAGCTGGAGGTGCTGTTTGGAGGAGGCGCAGGCCAACATCTCAGACGATCTGACTCTTCAGTTCGGGCGCTGTCCCTCGATTCCGGCGCCTGGACCCTTCTGTCGGTCCTCGAGGCAGACGACACATGCTCTGGGGCGAAGAACTGGCCCTGGGGGAGAGGTCGGGACGTCTGGGGCCGCGCAGAGGAGCAACCAGCTCGTCCGATGCCTGGGGGGGGACCTGCCGCCACCGAGAACCCATGGGCGATAGGAGGGGGTCGCGCACCTCCCCAGCCAGGCTCTCGGTGCTGGTGGTCCCCGTCTACCGTCTGAGCTCCGGCGGGGAGCGGGGAGGGGGGTGGGGAGTGAGAGGGGGCGGGCCGTCTCAGAAGGCTCGGAAGTCCCCAGGCCTTCCGAGAGAAGGTTTCTAAGCCTCCCCCGAAGACACAGGAGACCTCTCTCGGAAGGCCGGCGGGCTTCTGAGAAGCCCCGCCGCCTTCTGCGAAGGCCTTCTCCTTCTCACTTCCCCCGTCGCTCGCCGCCGCTGTTGGACGCCTGCGCTACAGTCGGACCTAGGACAGAAGAACATCCCTCAAGAACATGGAGCCCTCCGCTGGTCAGAGCACACAGAACATCCAAGAGATCCCTCCCCAGGACGCACAAGAACGTCCGACAAACACGAAGAACATGAGGGCGCCCTCCCCGAATCGACCTCTAACGAGCTGCGTCACCGGAGGTCTTGGGCTGGGCGCCTCCGCCGCGGCCGCGGGTGCAGAAGCGGAGCCCTCCTTTCGGCGACGCGCAGGAGCACCCCCCCCCCGGCAAAAGGTGGCGCCTGGTGCGCGGCTTTTTCGGGCCGCCGCGCGCGGCGCGGCAGCAGCGGCCCGAACCTAGAGCTCCGAGGCCCCGAGCAAAATTGGAGCGGGCGGTTGTTGACCGCTTTCGGCCTCCAGGGGCCTTCACCAGGCCTCGGGAGCGTCTAAAAACTACTCGGGACGAAAAAACAGCCCTTGGGAAGTGGTCGGGACCTCGGGGGCCCACGCATCGAAAAAATTGGAGCAGCTGGATGTCTGGGCAGGTGCTTGGGTTTCCAGATCGACCGACGGCTCAGAATTTCATGTCTGGACAACAGACGTTCGGTCGTACGCAATGACGAGGCTACCAGAAAATATCTGACAACCAAATCTGCTCCACAGGCCGATGTTCCTCGATGTCGGCCCTGGGGTGCCGTTTTCGCAGCCCGGGAGCGTAATAATGGGGTCCCGGGGCGAACATTTGGACGTGGGAGAGGTATTGAAATTAGTCCGGCGCGACCTGAATCAGGAGAAACCTTACAAAGTAAGTGACCCAGAACTCCTTGGCATTGCCTTGTGATGCTTGGTGTTGCGTGTGGGTGGCTTTGCGTTGCTTGGCATTACTTGACGTTGCTCGGCAGCTGCTTGGCGCTGCCTGGCATTGCTTGAGGTTTGGAAGCCAAGAGTCAAAGACCGAGGACCTGAGGAACGCCTAGAGGAAACCAAGGCGAAGGAACCGAGGAACACTTAGAATAAACCAATATCGGGGGAACCAAAAAGGAATACTTATAATAAACCAAGAATCAACCAAGATCGAAGAACCGAGGAATACTTATAATAAAACAGGAACCGAGGAATACTGATAACAAACCAAGAATAAACCCTGATTGGGGAACTCGAAGAAGGAAACCAAGACCAGGGAACCAGGGAAGGCCGAGGAACGCCCCACTAAATCGACCTAGCGAACCCCGGCTCGTCACAAAACAGAAAAGAACCCCTAGGCAGAGCTCAAATTAGGGACAGCACAGCACGGCGGGTCAGTGGGGGAACCCAGAGATAACGATCCTGCTACTCCACGGGCCTCTCCCGCAGTGCGTTCCGACAGGAGGCGGCGAGGGCCTCCCAAGAGGCCTACAAAGCCCGAACAAAAGAATCCCACCAGCCCGTCAGGGCGTGAGTGGCTTAGGGGGCTTCCTCTTCCAACCACCTTCTTCCCCTTCGGGGAGAGGTGCATCACTGTTCCCTATGAATATACACCCCCTTCCCTAGGCGACCAACAACCAACCCGGAACAATGCCGACCCCATGCTCACCCCCCCCACCCTCCCTGTCAAAAAAACAATACAACACACACTCTGCCTCCAAATCCGGAGGATGCGCAACCAACCCGATGCTGCCCACCATACTCTGGGGCAAAATTTTGAGTCCTGTCCGTGAGGCCCGCGATCACTTTGTATTGCTTCTGACAGGGACGGCGGGGGTGTTAGCATATTGCCTGCTGTGCGCAGGGCCACCATCCCTGTCAGAAAACAATGCAACATGCAGCTCGCGGCTATTACATCTGGATCATGCGCGGCCACCTCGCGATCACTGTCAAGTGGCTTTTGACAGGGACGGCGGGGGTGGTGGCGTATGGCCTGCTGTGCGCAGGCCCACCAGACACAATGATGGGCATTGGTTCTCGACAAGCATGGTTGGGGCCGACATGTTTCCTGATGTGCGCTGTCACGTGCGCAGGCGCACCTGACACACTCTGCACGTGCCCCGAACGTGGCGCACCTGGCGCGGCTGGAGTATGAAGCACACCCGGCGCACGCGGAACACGTGGCGAATCTTGCGCACCAGGCGTGCCTGGTACGCTCGGGCCCCAGGGGTGCCTAGCGCAGGTGAGGCGCCTGGCACGCGTGTCGCACGTAGCCCCAGCGTCGCGCACAGGGGGTCGGTTTTGGTTCCCAGTAGCTGTCCATCCATTGACGACCGCTGAACATGCTGAGGCTCGGGAGTTACTTATGTGTTGGGAGTGAGCTAGACGGCTTGCTATCTAGGAGGGTGTCTTAATCACTGCTCCCTATCATGATACACACCCCCTCCCCCAGGCGACCGGCAGCCAACCAGGAACCATGTCCATCCCCCGCCACCATCCCTGTCAAAACACAATACAAACGCACTCTGTCTCCACATTTGGAGCATGCACAGCCAGACCGATACAGCCCCCCAACAATCTCTGTCAATAACCATACAACATACACTTTGGGGCACAGTCTTGAGTCCTGTTCGTGAGGCCCGCGAGAACTTTGCATTGTTTTTGACAGGGACAGCGGGGGTGTCAGCATCTTGCCTGCTGTGCGCAGGGCCACCATCCGTAACAACAAAAGAAACAATCCAATGCACCTCTCGGCTAAATCTAGATCATGCGCGGCCACCTCGCGATCACTGTCAAGTAGTCTTTGACAGGGACGGCGGGGGTGGTGGCGTATGGCCTGCTGTGTGCAGGCCCACCAGACACAATGATTGGCATTGGTTCTCGACAAGGATGGTTGGGGCCGACATGTTTCCCGACGTGCGATGCCACGTGCGCAGGCGCACCTGACACACTCTGCACGTGCCCCGAACGTGGCGCACCTGGCGCGACTGGAGTATGAAGCACACCTGGCGCACGCGGAACACGTGGCGAATCTTGCGCACCAGGCGTGCCTGGTACGCTCGGGCCCCAGGGGTGCCTGGCGCACGTGGCGCGCCTGGCACGCGTGTCGCACCTCGCCCCAGCGTCGCGCACATGGGGTCCAAAGACGGCCGCTCAACATGCTGAGGTTCGGGTGTTACTTATGTGTTGGGAGGGCGGGGGGGAGTGAGCTAGACGGCTTGCTATCTAGGAGGGTGTCTTGAGCCCTCCCCTTATCCCCTCCCCCTGGACCTGGACGGGGCGTTTCGCGAGGTGTCAGAGGGTCGTTTTTGGCCTCTGCGAGAAGGCCACATCCATGGATGTTGCTCAAGTGTTCAGCCGATGTTGGCCTCCTGGGGGGGTACGTAATTTAACATGGTCCCTCCTTTGATCGATCTCCCAAGAGCGCCCCAAGAGCGCCCCAAGAGGCGCCCAGCAGGCTCCAAGATGCCCCAAAGATGCCTCCAAGCTGCCCCCAAGGTACTCCCAAGAGACCCAAAGCTGCCCCCAAGGTACTCTCCCGAGGCACCGAAGACGCTTCAAGAGGCCCCCGGGACCGTCCCCGCCAAGAGGTCCCCGAGACGCCCCACAGGCCTACAAATAGCTCCCTAGTAACACACGAAGAAACTCCGAGAGGCATCCAAGAAACATGTGGTCTCTCTGTTCGCACTCCTCTTCCTCTTCCTCAACCGCCAAATCCTCCTCATCCCTTTTCCCTCCTCCATCCTCCTCCTCCTCCTTCTCCTCTGTTTTTTCCTCCGGCCTCTGCCTCCTGGGGTACGACTGCTTCCCAGCCTTTATTCCCCGGCGTGCTCCACCATATGCCTGATCAGGGCAACCAGCCTGGGCATCGTTTCTGGATGGGCTGGTGAGGTTACGCGAGGCGTCTAGAACAGTAAGTGGTAGCGATACCCTCACTGAGATCTGACGTCGCGAGAACATTGAAGCAGGGTGAACATTCACGACTGGAACCATATACCGAACCAGTCTACGACATTCTTCAAGCCAAATCGGTGTGTGATGTCTCGGCGCCCGAAAACGGCCGACGCGAGAAAAATGCAACGGCCGGGTTCCAGGGTTTTCCCCTTTTGACCTCCGCCCCCCGGCGCCCCCCGAGGGTCGGACGTTCCACCTGCGCACGGCACCACGTTCAGAGTGCACCCCTGCGGGATAGCTTATCGACGTCCAAATAGAGGGAAAAGAACTATGCACATGCACCGATTCTGGCCAGGCCCATCCTGAGCCCAGGATCGGTGCATACGCCCTCCTACCTTGGCCAGGAAGGCATATGCACCGATCCTGGGTCAAAAATGGGCCTTGCCAGGATCGGTGCATGTGCATAATTCTCTTCGCCCGATCCAAAACAACCGCGAGTGTCTCCGGCGAGACGCACGCCGACTAGCGAAACCGACTGGGGACTGCCCCGGCACACCCGCATGCCATCGTCGAGTAAGCCCGTGCCGGCTTCTTCGGTTGACTTGTCTGGGGGGGGGGGCGCCCTGCCAATTAAATCAGGGCTAAGATCGGGATAAATCGCTCCAGAGCGTTCCGGAGCGCTCTCAGAGCGTTCCGGAACGCTCTGGAGCGGCCGCGGCGCCCAATACATCCTCCAAACCCGCCGATTCTCAGAGATTTCGAATTATCCCGATCCGATTTTGTGCCGATCTTCGTGTCTTTTTAGGTTTCTTCGGTTGCCTTGTCTGGGGGGGCGCGCCCTGCCAATGCCCGACGGGAGGCCGCGCACCACGGGCCACTCCGGCTGGGGGGCAGGAGAGCCCAGAATCGAATCGACAAATCGGATCGGCGATCGAAATGAATCGGATCGGCGGAAATCGGCAGCCACGTCGGGAGAAGTCGAATCGGCGGAAATCGGCAGGCTAGTACGCCTCCAATCAGAAATCGGATCCAAAATCGGAATCCGAAGCCGAAATCGAATCGGAGTCGGAATCCATCGAAATCGAATCGAATCGAATCGGAGGAATCGAAACGAGCCCTGGGGGTCGCTCGTGCGCGTGGCCGGCCCTCCTCCGCGCCGACGGGGCGCCCGGGGCAGCGGCGACGCGCCGCGCCGCTCCGCGCGCGGCCCCCCGAGGGTTTCCCCGGCGGCGCGCCCCCGGGGGGGCTCGAGCCAGGACGGCCGCAATTGTTTGTTGAGGCTTCTGCTGCACATGCGCTGCCAATACTTTAATATATATATATATATATATATATATATATACGCATCAATAAGATTTTAAATAAATAAATGAACATCTATATATATATATATATATATATATAAAAACCAAAAAACGCAGGCCCCCCAGAGAGCCATGCCACTCGCGCGATCGAGAAACGCGCGCGTGGCACGCGCATCGCACCGCGGAGGGAAGAGCTCAGTAGCAGCCCGAGCGGGCGCATCTGGCACCAGGCAGCGCGACCAGCCGGGACGGCCGCAGGTCGGTCCCGAGTGCACTGTCGGCCAGGGTGTCAGACATCGACGAACAACAAGTATGGATGGGCCCAGGGAAACACAAACAAATTCACAAGAATCCCATGCGGATGCCCTGACACTGGGTACTTTGACAGTCCTATCGTTGAATGGACTATGTGTTTATAGTGTTTGGGCATGTGTTTGAAACGTGCAAAAAATGTTTCAGCACTGCTTTTTTATACGCTTAAAGCGAGTCTATATATATATATTGACAGCTGAAAACTATTTGGCGAACATGCTTCCTATCCACTGATCGTCTTTCAAAAGTTTGGGGTGCGCGCGGATTTCTTCCATCGGTGGTGAAACCCCTCGCGCAATTCGCGCGCCATGGAGGGTGTCCAGCGCTTATCCAAGAAATCAGCGCGGGCATCCGAAAGTTCGTCCTCATGCATTATTTAAACAGCCGAAGACATCACGATTTTCTTCGACGACAAACCCTCAATGAAACAATGCGCGCGCGATGACTGAATTCTCTCGGCAGCGTCAGCCTGGGCGGAGAATGTGTCATCGTTCAAGCTTGTCAGACACGGCAGAATATTTTGCCAGACTTTGCAGCTAACGCTGGAAATCTTCGGCCTGGCAGACGCTGCCACGCAGGGCAAGCGGTTGAAGACAGGAGCTAACACTTAGCATCCGTACCGCGCAACGCCCCCTTCACGACTCAAACATAAGAGCCACAAATGATGGCGCCGTCCCCCTCGCAACTTTGTAAAGAAGACCCAGCATAACGACGTCGCGCCGCAGTCTCAATGGTCAATTATTGTGTTCAAGTAGCGGTTCCTTGAACATCGAACCAACACCTTCCAGAACAGGATCCTGCAACCCATCTAGATGTCGCAAAACGGCAGCAGCAGCAGCGTGGTGAATTGCCGGCGACGCGCCCTCGATGTACGACATCGCGTGAGATTTGTACAAACGAACCTTCTTGGCAGTGGATCGTAACCATTTTGTTCGAAGTAACGCCTGGAGCCTCCAGGAGCCTTCGGCGACGAAGTGTGGCGCAGCCTGGTACACAACAAATCTGGCATCGAAGAGCACCCCGAGCATCTTCAGAATCCAACGTCTGGCGGAGTGGCGCCCAAAACGTGAAGTTGTCTGTCCCGCTTGAACATGATTTGGGTTAGCGGTCCCCCACCTGTGGGGCCAGGCACGCCGCAAAATCACGGTTCACGCTTGCAGTTCTACGAACTGCAGAACGCGTTCGCCAACAGTTGGAGTCATCGGCACAGACGGTGTCCACGAAACCAATGGCATTGTTTGTTGGACGTATACCAGAATAATATATATATATATATATACATATATATATATACATATATATATATATATATATTCCAAGGCGGGGTTCCAAGCGCTGTGCCTTGACTTTTTTGATTGTAAATCTTGAAATCCCAGACAAGCGAACCATCCACGCAGACTTTGGCTACCACGCAACCCGGCCAAGATTTCATGACTCTCAGGAAGACATCGCATACTTCACACGTCTGCGATTGCTCCAACAACAGCGTAGCATTAACCCGGTCGAAACTTGCGGACACGTCAGAGCATCAGATAGACGCGCCGGCGCCACCGCCGAGAGCCAAAATCCATTGGAAGACATTGAAGGCGAGAGCGTCCATGTAGTTTCTGTTCCTGTGGTGCGCAAACTGGTTGTCACCATGCGAACAAAACCTCACGAATAACGGTAACATGAATCGGGTGATCATTCGTTCCGCCGCTTGGGCAATATCGGATGTCAAGCGCATTCCCCTGCAATTCACTGGCTTAGTCTTGGTGGTACGCTTGAGCAAAAGCAATAAACAATGTATTGTTCAACAAAACGGGCAAATCCAGATGGCAAGACCAACCGGGTCAACATAGTCAGGGGGACGGACAACGGGCCGTAGCATCGCTTCAATATCTGCGCTGGCACTTCGTCGGGGCCAGTGCCGCAATCTCTCAAAGCCCTTTGAGGACGTGTTCCACCCAGCGCGCACACGCAGGAACGACACCAGAGATTCGAGGCCCACGTATCGCAGAGAGCTCGTTCAGAACGGGTTCTGGCAAACCGCACTTCGAGGAAAATGTCGCACGAAGAACGAGGCGGTTTTGCCAAACGCTGTTGTAGCCCACTCGCCGCCGGGACCCAAGAGAAGGGGCATGGAAGACACCTGGCGAGCTCGCAGCATTAAAGAGTTGCACATTGCCCACAACCTCTTCATGATGAAAGGATAGCAACATGCTATGTCTCGCCCGTCATGCGGACTTCGAGCGCTCCCCTAAAAGCCTCTGGGAACAGGCTGTTGCCGCTCGGTCGAGATCGCAAATACCAGGTGCACGATTTTTTGCCTCAATGACCTGCTGGCTGCTGGTGTTTACGGGATGCCGTATGCAATAAAGAATGTGTTGCGTGTCTCACTCAAGAAACGTCTCGGTGAACAGGTCAGCTGCCTCTTTTGGTCCACATTCAACGGAAAAAACGTTCCAACAAATACCATCCAAAAATTCAATCGAATTACTCCTATCCGGTTTTCTGTATTTGCTACAACCCCTTTCGATCGGTGTCGGGCGCTGTACCGACTTTGGTCAAAACAATGAGGTGGTCGGCGATCTGCGAAAGCACCTGTTATTTGACCCCAGCGCTGGTGTCGGTCAGCACGATGCCAAGCAAGTATCATACTCGAGTCGGCCGCCCCACTCTCTCCACCAAGTCTTTTCGTGTCAATGCCATTTGAAGGGTAAGGCCTTCTTTAGAATTGCTGCGCGAGTGCTTTAAACCAAGAAGCCGGATGCACATTCATGTCGCCAACGACGAGGGTTCCAAATGCAAGATGCCGGTAATGATCCCGTGCTCTAAAACGGGTGAAACCTCGCCGGAGCAAGGTGGCCAGTACCATGCACCACAGAGCAGTGGGCCGTGGACTGCAAATGATGTGCCAGGAACACTCGTGTTCAGGCGAAGCACCCACGTGAACGACATTTTGTGCAAAACTCAACTTGGAGAAGACAACAATGCCCCCGCACTTCCGCCCACCACGACGATCAAGACGGGAGATGCGACGCTGCCCTTCGAACTCGGCTTTAGGAAAAGACTTATCCAGGAACGTCTCGGCCACTGCAACGGGATCAAAGAAATCTGCTAAAGCAAACCTGTGTTGCAGTTTAGCCGCATGACTGAGGGAGCCGCCGAAATTCACATGCAAAAAAGAATCATGCAATGTTTGATCCCACCACTCTGGTCCGAAATTGTTTGGACGATGATGTGATGTGTTTCTCCGTCTGGGCGTGTTTCCGTGCGTTCGGCCCCCCTGGGGTATGTTGTCGGGCCCTGGGGCCATCAGAAATGGATCCAGGACGGAAACAACCCCCATGAAAGGGGTCGGGGTCTCTGTGGCCACGAAATTAAACAATCAGATCAGCGGATGTCGGAGCTGATATTTCAGAGGGCACCCGAGAGGACACAGGACTCTTCCAAGGGCAACCCTTGCTCCAGACATGCAGAAGGCACGAAAAACAATGAACAAGGTACAAGGGTAATTCTTGAAATTGCACGGTAGACCTACTAGTAGTAGTCGTAGTCGTAGTCTTGCTGCTACTGCTGCTGCTACTACTACTACTACTACTACTACGACTACTACTACTACTACTACTACTACTACTACTACTACTACTACTAATACTACTACTACGACTACGACTACGACTAATACTACTACTACTACTACTACTACTACCACGTCGACGACTACAACTACTACTTCTACTACTACTTCTACTACTACTACTACTACTACTACTACTACTACTACTACTACGACTACTACTACGGCGACGACGACTACTACTACTGCTACTACTACGATACTACTACTACTACTACTACTACTACTACTACTACGACTACTACTACTACTACTACTACTACGACTACTACTACTTACTACTACTACTACTACTACTACGACTACTACTACTACTACTACTACTACTACTACTACTTACTACTACTACTACTACTACTACTACTACTACTACTACTACTACTACTACTACTACTACTACTACTACTACTACTACTACTACTACTACTACTACTACTACTACTACTACTACTACTACTACTACTTACTACTACTACTACTACTACTACTACTACTACTACTACTACTACTACTACTACTACTACTACTACTACGACTACTACTACTACTACTACTACTACTACTACTACTACTACTACTACTACTACTACTACTACTACTACTACTACTACTACTACTACTACTACTACTACTACTACTACTACTACTACTACTACTACTACTACTACTACTACTACTACTACTACTACTACTACTACTACTACTACTACTACTACTACTACTACTACTACCACTCGTATTCGCATTCTCGTGGTTATCATTGCTCTCATCATGAAACAATAGACACGAGTTCGCTAGATATCAGCAAAGCGGCCGAGCAACGTCTGCCAAGCCTTGCTGGACAGTGTACCACGGGCACCCGACACCTCGGGAGCTAGCGCCCAGACAGCGCGGCCTACGTGGGCACACGGGCCGTCGTAGCGCTGTCTACGTGGGTGCACGGGTCTGGGCTGCGCTGCCTGCGTGGGTGCACGGGCCCAGGCAGCGCTGCCTACGTAGGCGCACAGGCCTCGGCAG